AAGGAAGGGAGTGAGCAAGAGAAGAGAGGAGATTGCTCCAGGCCAGGGAAGCCCTTTCTCTTTTGTTCCCTGAAGGAAAGCCTTAAGAGGATGTAGCAGAGGGTTCTGTGGAGGCAGAAGCCCCCAGTGGGAACCCCCTTCCCGAGAGGTGATCCTGTGACGGTTAGTCTGTTGCAGGTCAGTCCTTACAGCCCCCACCTCAGCGTGGCGATGTTTCCAGCAGTAGGTACCGGGGCTGTTTTTTAGTTTCCGAGGAGGTGTTTCAGGAAGGGTAAGGGGCCACACGGATTAAAGCTAACTTCTAAGTCTCTTCCATTTAATGGAATGGTTCTGGAGGTCGCTTTTGCTGGGTCTCGGATTCAACACCCTCTTCTATCTGCGAACTCTGCCTGGCTCTCACCTAAGTCTGTTGTGACCATTTGATTCATTTCCTCTTCTAACTTGAGTCAGTTTCCTACTTCTTTATTGTCTAATTTCCCCTCCACACAGCCGCCCAACACACCACACACACGGTCTCCTCTCTTCTTTCTTATGCTTTCATTGTAAATTATGTGGAAAACAGAGGGTGGGCCTGGGTGAGGACTCAGAGGGTAGAAAGACCCAGTGGTCATCTGATCCCAGACCCGTTGCCCTGAACGCTGTCAGTTGACCTTCAGGATTACCCTTTGGTTGTTGCAGAGTCGCCCAGATTTGCTCAGCAGTTACCTGTAAAGCTAATTGAACGGTGTCTCTCTTAACATGGAACTCCCTCTCCTCTCCTTCCTGCTCGGGGAGGCAGATTGGTACACATTGAGATGTTCAGGCTTGGAATCAGACTTCCTGGTTCAGGTCCCAGCTCACCCACTTACTGACTGTCATCTATCTCCTGTGCCTCAGTTTCCGTATTTATAAATTGGGGATTATGATCATGCGTCTCCTAATAGGGTTATTGTACTAAATGAGTTTTAAATAAAAGGCACTTAAAACAATCTCTGTCTTAGTTTAAGTTCTCAGAAAAACTTATCCATAGGATAAGAAGTAGTTGTTGAGTTATTCTTCACTGACGTTATTTAGGTGTTTGTAAAACCCAAGTTTCAAATAATGGCTTTCCTTCCAAGAGTAGTGCTTACAGCAGTAATCTATGCCAAATAAAACAACTGTGGAACGACTTTTTAATTTTGTTTTAAAGGAAATGTCAGATCTTTTTTTCTTTCTTTTAAAGGAAGTGTCAATAATTGAGCTTAATCAAGTAATAGCCTTACAAACATTGTTTATTTGAAAACTATTCTGGGTAAATTCTAAGAGCATACTTTTTTAGTTTCATTTTTCCCAGTGGGAAGGGCACTCCTGGGTTTTATGACCTTTTTGCTTGTTTTTAATTTTTGTTAAACTCTTTCAAAAAACTGGTTTGCTACATTTTCAGCTTTATAAACAACCACATTAAGATTCAAATTCTTTAGAGGTTTTTTTTTTTTTTTTGCCTTATATTTGTTGAACTGTGTGAAGGAGGACTACATTTTCTCTTTATTTTGTGTAATCCCCATGGTCTTAAGTGAGAATTCCATGACGTGTATTATAGGTTTTCAGTTAAGGCCTTTTGATTTCATATACCAATTTCTGACTTGGTTCTGGCCATTTATGTTTGTGATCATGGTCACTTGTATGTTGTTTCTTGAGTTCACTTAGTACCTCTTGAAAATCTTAACGAAATTTTTTTTAATATTGAAGGTTTTTTTCTTTATAATTTTAGTAATTCAACATTCCCCTTTTCAAGTACAAATCTTCAAGCTATAATAACATTGTGAAAATTGGAAATAGATCATCTGAGAAAGAGGCCTCTGATACAGCATATCTGGATACCTAGATGTTTGAAGATTCATTCATTTTTGTCGTATCATGTTTATAATCTATATATTTACAGTTACCTACTTCATTTCAGTTTGGTCATTTGTGCCATTTAAGAAGAAGAAAATGCCTAATTGTACATCTTACAGGACGACCTGTATTGGAATAGTTTATATGAACAAAGGCATTATTTGTTTTTGTATTTGAACTTCAAAACAGAACTTAATAAAACTTCACTTTTCTCTAACATTGGCTGTTAGTAATCTTCAGCTTGAGGGGTGCATTTATTCCATATACAAAACGTAACTTCTTAGAGTACTCGGAGTAGGATCCCTTGGTTTTGCAGCTGCAAGTAAGCAGTCTGATCTCACCTGTAACTGCTCTTTTAAACTCTGTTCAAGGATGACAACAAGGCAGGATCCAGTTGTGTACTGTAGGGGGTTAGTACAGCTTTGTGTATAGAACCTGGTCAGTTCCCATTATTATTTGAAAAATAAAATTGTTACTTAGTTTGTTATCTTAGAAAGGAAAACTCTGTGAAATGTATACCTGGAAATCTTGGATCAAGAGGTGGGCAGGGAGAGAAGTTTGATTTGTTCTCCCTTAACCTTGATGGGCTGATTGACTCTGGACAGTCTGTCTCAAGGTACTTTCTGCCTACATTCTGACCTTGAGATGCACAAATCTGCCCCTTGTTCCTTGGTATTTACAAGTATTAACAGTGTATTATTCGAATTTCCTGCGAGGGGTTTCTGGATGTCTTTGCTCTGTCAATTTGTAAAGGTGATTAAAAAAAAAACCCATAATGTTGATGGCTGTTTCATAGCATCTTGGTAGATCCATTTCACTTTTAATTGGGAACCTCCTTGCAGAGAATGCCAGTGAACGTCCTGGGCGCGTCTCCATTTTGCTTTTAGTAGATGTTTGCTCTGGGATATCTCAACTGTGCTGTCCTAGGAGTTCTGCGTGTTTCCAGTTAGGGTCGTTTGTACTTAGCCTTCGTCCACCCACAGGCAGTGTTGGTTACCAGCGAGCTGTTGCGATGGTGAGTGCATCCATAATGTCTCTCTCTCGTTTGCTAGGCGGAAGATGGTGTTAGTGATTGCGAGCCCCCGGCTGGCACCCTTGCAGAGCAGGAGTGAGTGAGTGCTGTTCAGCTTTCCGGTCCTGTGAGTCTGATGCCTTTTCCCCATGTTTTGGCATCACTGCCAAACACATGCATTGAAATCCTTCACGATCATCAGTTTGTCAGATGATTACACTGTTTCAAAGAGTCTGTCCAGGTCCTTTGTATCTTTTTTTTTGTCACCTTAGTGTATGTCCATTGTGATGGGGACATTGATGGTGTTGGAAGAAGGCACAGTGTGTATCAGGGCAAGACTAGTGATTTTGGGTTCAGTGAAGGACCGTGGACTCCTCACAGGGAGACTCCCCAATGCGCGCCCGTGCCTGCAGCCCAGGGCTGCCGAGCTGTCATTCTCCATGTGAGCTTGGGCCCAGCCCTGTGGTGCCGAGGGCAATGTCAGCAGTTTTTCTTGTGGCTGCTGCACCACGGGGTGTGGGCAGGGTGTGCAATTGCCATCTGCCTCACACGCATAACAGGGTGAGAGGTTTCTGTTTCCTGGCACAGGGCATTGCCAAAGTTTGAGCCCATGCACTGCAGCAAACCCGTGAGGCTGGTAGTGAAAGGTGGACTGTCTCGAGGGAGGGCACCTGGCCCACTGCATCCTCCGCACGGAGCGAGTCCTGCAGCGTGAGCAGGACAATCCACGTGGCCAGGGGACAGCCAGAGCAGGCAGTGGAGGGGAGGCCCGCCTGTTGGCGTTAACTGTGGAATTGGGGTCCCCCGCCAGAGCAGAGAAGGGTGACTCGGAGCCACCTGACCTGGTCTGTCGTGAGCCATTGTCATGCTTTACAGCTGGTACCGAAAGCCAGACCTGTCACTCATCTCCCCATATCTTCATCTCCCTTGGTGGTGGTTGTTGAGTGAGGCCCTTCCTTACATTTGCTGTATTAAGTCCTTCACTTTAAAGTCTCATGTCATGGCCAGAAATTCTCTGTGTACTAAAGAGCACTTCACTGGTAGACTCCTTGAGGTCACAGTTAATCTTACCACTGTGGCTGCACATATGGCTGACAGTGATGGTCACGGCATCATCCCTTAGTTTGGTGAACATTTGGATTCCACCCCACCTGGGCTAGCCCGGCACTTTTCCCCCTTGTAGAAAAGTACTTTTGCAAAGTTTCTTTGAAGTTAAGATACCTTGAGGAGGTTAGCTTTGAGTATATAAGATTGCTGCTTAGGGTCCCAGATCCTCTGCCCTTTTACATAGAAACTGCCCACTTGTAGTTCCTGAATGGAAACTTTGTAAGAAAGATTAGAGTGAGAAATTAGATTCTTACTTGCAGCTCTAAGTGGAATAAGCTTAGTTTGCCCATGTGCAGGTTTATGTAAGTGTCTTTTCTGGTTTCCTTATAAAATGTTGTCTTTCACCTGACTCTTAGTTAGGCGTGTTCTGCTAGGAGATTTCACATCCAGCAAGTTCAAGGTAAGGAGGTCTATAACAGGTAGACACCCTCCTCTTCCCCAGAGTGGGTGGATGAATATGTCCTCTTCCTCGGAGAGACTCTCCAGAGCCCTGGCATTCATGATGAGCTCAGTTTAATTCCAACATTTTTAGGTACAAGAAAGTGTTTACCAGTGAAATAAAATTGTTGGAAAAATGACTTTTATCAAGGAAGCCTGATTCCTAAGCATGGAAATAGAAACCTTTAAACTCCATTTAGTTAAGTTTATGGGCTTTGGGGTCTGTAACTGTGAATTTGATAATTATCATAAATGTCAAATAGCAAGTGATTGCGGTATAGATTTTTTAATTTATCCCCTGGAATAATCATAGATATTGTAACCACATAACTAATGGATTTTGCATTAGGGTGATCATTCAGTTGACCTGGAACTCTCACAGTAAAATTACGTAGTATGAAAACGTTTAAGTCTTCCATTGTGTCTGACTGCTTCCCCTCCCCCCACCATAGTCTTGATTCAGGGTTTTTACAGTATGTGATAAATGAGCTGTTTACTGATTTCTCGTTGAAGTAAAATGGAAGTTTGGATTATTGGAATTTATTCTTTGGGGGCACCTGGCTCATCCTTGTTTTTGTTTGTTAAACAGGAAAAGGACCAGCGCAGCCTAGACATAAACACTGCCAAGTGCATGTTGGGACTGTTATTAGGAAAAATCTGGCCCCTTTTTCCAGTTTTTCACCAATTCTTAGAGGTACTAAATTGTTATTTTATGGAATGTATGTTTGCTTGCTTAGAACTACCAAGTATATTTTATTTAACCATTTTATGTAACTTTGTTTGTTGTGCCTTTCTGCCTGTAGGAACTGTGGCGACACAGTGGCTGTCAGGGAGCACGTCCCTGTGCTCTGCGTGTGCGTGCATTTCGCGGGCCGCGTTGTCCCTGGTGCAGGTGCATCGGACAGCCACGGCTCTGTCCTGTCCTCTCTCGTCCCCATTTTAAAGCTTTATTTTTGTTTAGATTTCCTGCTCTCTGTAACTAGAGGAAAACAAGATTTACTTTCTTTTGTGGCTTTAGATGAAGTTCTACTTTTATGAAGCAAAGGTTAAAGAACAGCCATCTGCCTTATTACTAAATTAAGTTTGTGATATATTTATCTACTCTTATCTCCAAGTAACTTGAGGACCTGGATCAATCTAAGTGTTTGGCAAACTCCTTCAGACAGCATCTCTTGGTTTAAGGTTTCTCCACATTTGTATTCGAAGTAATCCAGCACTTCCCTCCATTATTTCCTTTGCATTAGGTATTAATGATTGAAACTTTGAGCTGCTGGTTATTAGGAGCTGGCTTTGATGCCCTGTAATAATAATGCAGGATCCAGGAGAATCTGGGATGTGAGTTTGAGTTACTTGGGTTGTCATACATGGCATCCTTCTTGCCTTCCAGACCTAAACCCCTTTAAAAAATGCTTTTTTGCTGAAAAGGATGAGGGTGCTGGTCTTTGAGAAAATCCTGGGCCTTACCCTGACTCCAGCTTCACTCTTGAAACCACCTTCCTTATAACTTCTTCTGTGTCATGGTCAGAAAAACTTCCAAATGTGATAGGATTCTTTGAGGACTATTACTAAAAATTGCCTTCAACATTACTAACTGGGGCTCCTGAAAAAAGGTATAAAAACTAGTTTTTAATGTAAGAAATATGTGTTCACGTAACAATCCATATTTACCAGTGATCTGTTCCAGTTTCTCTGACTGCCCCAAGAAATGTTAGCTTTATTTGGAAAATAAGTAGAAACAGGCTCTTGTTCTCAGAGTTGAGCAGAATTGGAGCCTGGGCGTGAAGGGTTCTGGAGCTAACAGACCTTGCCGCCAGCAGGTTGGACTTTGCACAATCCCAGGAGCGCCATCAACTGTTTCAGTGACTGGGTTTTGCTTTTAGTTGCTTAGAAAGTTACACTTGTGGTCTGTGCTTTGTTCTCTGTCTTACATTAGTTTACATTTTTCTGTTAAAAGGAGACGGTAGTCCTTTCATTCGAGCTTTTTTTCTCGTGTTTGCATCCTCAAAACCATTCACTCAACTCTCTGCTTTTTATGTACATGTATTGTTTTCCAGTGTTCCCGATTTTAGTGGTGAGGGTTTAAAAGTTGTTGGACTGGGTTCTATGTTTAAATCTTTATACAGGAAACTGCATTTTAAAATACATACACGGCATATTTCTTGTCTGGGAGAAAGAGAAGAACTATTTCATGGCTATGCTAATTTCTTTTATGATCAGATTCAAAGTCAGAGTTACTAGAAGAGTAACCCTTCAGGGGTCAAAGCACCTAGTCCTGAGGCCGCTTACAGCACGCGGCAAGTCCTCGTTGAGTTCCCAGCGCTGCGCGCTGCAGGCTGACGTGACAGTGAGCGCGCTGTCCACGTGGGGGCTCCTAATGGGAGCAGCGCTTTATTTAGCACTTACTCTGTGCCAAGCCCAAAGTGAAGTGCCCTGCATAAGTGAGCTCTTTAATCCTTGCCGCATCTCTGTGAAGTAGGTATTATTGGTCTTTTATGTGAAAGGGCCTTTGCCGTCTAGAAATTGCACTTCTGGAATATAAAAAATGGTGTCTCTTTGCTGTGCTTGCCCTTTTGTGTTGAGCCCCCCAATATTTTTGAGAAGAAGATTGTCATCTGGAGTTCTTCTGCTCTGTCTCTCACCCTTCTAGATTGGTGCTTAACACACCTCACATGGAAAGAGTTAACCTTCATGAACTTTCCTAAGTTGATTCATACAGCAATTGAAACCATCCCATTTGTTAATTATGAGTGTCAGTAATTCATCTTACTTTTCCCTCCATCAGCAATCAAAATACAAAGTTATTAACAAAGACCAGTGGTGCAACGTGCTAGAGTTTAGCAGAACAATTAACCTGGACCTCAGCAACTACGATGAAGACGGAGCATGTGAGTACCGGGCCGCGCGGCCCTTCACCCGTCGCCGCCCACCTGCTGCTCTACCTCGTCCTGAAGAGCTCATGGCTGTGCTGTTTTCTCTCTGTCTCTCTCCAGGGCCAGTTTTGTTGGACGAGTTTGTGGAGTGGTATAAAGACAAACAGATGTCCTAGGACTTCACGCATAGCAGCGAGAGAGTCACTGTTACCACAGTTATGTCAACCATTAGCCATAAATTGCTGTTTGTACCCAAGCGCATGCCGCTTTTCTTGCACTGTCTCCCTTTGGCAGGGCCGTGTTGGTGTTTGCTGTTGAATGGACCAGCTCTGCTTGCTGTGTAGCATTGTTCTCTTGGAAGGCTGCTTTGCAGTTTGTATTTACACTACAGATTGGTGAATTTGCCAACGTCCTCACTGTGATTATGTGTATATTGCTGTTTAAATTTTGTATATGTGTATAAAAAGAAAAAGCTTCACCTAGAGATTATTTCTGCAAAAATGTATTGTAAAATAACTTTTGTGGCATATTTCTAGTCCCTTTTTTTCAAATGAACGGATTATACTTTTATTTGGTCTCAAATGTAGCATTTCAGAAAACAAGACAGAACAACCGTTACCATATGCAAATGAAGCCAGAATAATTAACCTTCCTGTTTAAGAGGCCAACTTTTAGGAGAGGGGAGTCATAACTTCTCAGAGGCATATGCCAAATACAATGTGGTTTACTGAAATAATAGCATTTTTAAATGATGAGAGTTATAATAATAGAACTTAGAGACAGGTACCATGCCACAAGTCTTTTCTACCACGCAAGGTGTAGGTTTTGATTCTCTAATGTTAAAGCTGAAAGCTGTTATAGTTTGAGTATAGGTACAGATGAACAAATTACAGTTGCACCTTTTTTTTCCCATGGGTTTTAAACTCTTGTAAATTTTCTTGATATATATATTTTTTCTTTTGCATTCCTCTAGTCAGTGTTTGGTCTGCTGATGCTTCCCATGCCATTCTAAGTAAAACTTATTCTGCCGCCTCCGTGAAAACCTAATGATTTTGCTGGCAACTTAGATCTATGGAGCACTTTTAGTTGTGGCTTGACTATTTAGTTACGCTTTCATGGTGTCTAATTTTCTAAGTTTTGCAGGGAAAAGATCTATACTGTAAGTGAGAGGTGTTCTGTTTTGTTTTGTTTTCCTTTTTCATTTCTTTCACGCTAGGCTTTTCCTGGCAGACTGTCCATTGCAGGCAGTGGACACGACACCACCAGCACTGAGCTAGTAACTCTGTTACACGGTGGGACCTTTCCCGGAGGGGCCGCTCGTCATTGCCTGAGTAATGTGGACAGAGGGGTGATAGCCATTATGTGTGTCGATGAGGAAGCAAGAGTAAACAGGACGGTATTTTTAGGTTTGTATTTCACGTCTTTTCCTTCTTTACCTTGTCTTACACTTCTCGAGGAAATGTATAGATAACTATAGATAATGTGTTTCTCCCTCAACTATCTGGTGCTACTGAATGACTAATTTAGTCCCTAAAGTTTTGTGAAAACACAAAAGTCTAATGACTTAAACCAAGTGAATAAAAAAACTAATGGTGCATTTGAACAAGTGAATGCTGTAGTTGTGAGCAGACTCCATGATGGAACATGCAGCGGTCAGAGGAGGTTTGGATTATTCCAGAATCTGGCCCCCAAATCTTTTGGGTCAAATGTGAACATTTAATGGCATCACGTGAGTAAAGCACACAGACGATGCTACTCTTGACCACGATTTCACAGTTCCTTTGTAAGCAGTGTTCAGATTTTCATATTATTTTTTTCCCAACTGAACCACCAAAGACAGAAATTTTGTATGTATATATAGTGTGTGTGCATATACAAAATCATGATACGGTAGAATGAAATTACTTCCTTTTTCTACCAAATAGAAAGATTTGGTTTGCTGTGAAATAAACAGAAGTTTGGAAAACTCTGTAGTGATTAAGCATACTTAATCATTCCTTGTTTAGAAGTTGTAGACTCCCTTCTACCTTATGCATTCACACCAGTTTGCACAAATTAATCTCTGAAAAGAATAGAAGGTGTGGACGGCAAGCACAGTTCTTGAGACGGAGGTGCTGGAAGGGCTTCCATTCCGACAGGTGCCTGGGGTTCCAGTGGCGACTGGCCATAGGCCGGTTCGAATCTGTGGAGAACTTGGTTCCTTTTTCAGAAGTATCCTGTAAAGTTAAAAAAAAAAAAAAATCACACCTTAAAAGCAGCAGTTCTGAAATTTGATCAACTTTTATTTTGTTTAAATCAAGTATAAATCATAGAAATTATTTTAAAAGGTATTGTTAGAGACTGGAGAATTTTTAAAACACTAAGCACAGTTAATCCTAAAATAAAAAGACTGTTACGGGGACGATGTTACATTTCAACCACAGCGAACATTTTGATGATAGGGGTTTTGGAGAAGCCAAGTAAAAACTATTTCATGATGTATAATATGAAGGTCAGTATTCCAAAAGGACAGCCTTGCATATTTAGGAAAGTCCAGATAATCTCTGAACTCCCTTGAAAAATAAATCTCTGTGGCCACAGAGTGCTTGCCCTTGGTTTTCTTGATTTTATGCAGTTATTTTTAAGGGGAGGAAGAGGGGCCAGAGTAATAAGATACTTTTTCTTAAAGACGTCCCTAAGTTACGTAACACTGAGCAGTCACCGAGCACGTCCTCGTGAGCTAATTAATAACGCTGAGTGAATGAGGGTGCCTTCTGGGTTTCTGTTGTCACCTACGCCTCCGCCCTTTCTCTTCCATCGTGCTTTGAACTCCACGCTGCAGTTACTCCCTCGTAACGGAATACAACTTTTTAGATGTTTGCTGCTGCGGTAGGTCAGAAATTTCATTATTTGATTTGCCATAAACGCCCTCTGTAATGTTACGTGCAGCTTATTTGAAGCATGACCTCCGAATTAAGTTTTTATAAATCTGACTAGACCAACCTCTAGATTCTGGTTTAACAACAGATGTCTGTAGCCTCTCAGCCTCCATCTTAACAGTGCTTTTGAAGTTTATACAGAAAGCTTTAAAAGTTAGTTTGTGCCCTTGGTTTTTATTCTTACAACTGCTAAAATACCTCTGTAAGCCTTATCTTTTATTCTTTCATACGTTGTATAATAAATGTATAGAATTCATTGACCAACTAAAATGTTGGGTGTCTGTAAATGAGACCAAAATGTGGGTTGCTTTTTTCATAAAACCATTTCTCTCGGGGTTACTGTTAAGTGAACAGCAGCTAACCTGTGACTGTGAATGCTTCGTGTCGTCAGTATTTGCATTACCTTCACGAATGTGTGCAAGTCCTGTGACTCCCAGCTTAACTGAAATACTGTTATGCCACCTAACTTGAGTACAGCAAACTGGTTTTAGGTTTTAATGGAATTGATGTAAAATGATATCCCATAAATAAAAAGTATTTGTGTTTGGTTTCAGAACTGATTTGTGAATTCTTTCTTCTCTTCTTTGGCTTTTTCTTCAAAAACCTCTTGAGGTAGTTTTATTTTTTTTTCTAATTTTTATTTTTTTAACATTTTTTATTGATTTATAATCATTTTACAATGTTGTGTCAAATTCCAGTGTAGAGCACAATTTTTCAGTTATACATGAACATATATGTATTCATTGTCACATTTGTTTCTTTGTGAGCTACCATAAGATCTTGTGTATATTTCCCTGTGCTATACTGTATAATCTTGTTTATCTGTTCAACAATTTTGAAATCCCATCTGTCCCTTCCCACCCTCCACCCCCTTGGCAACCACAAGTTTGTATTCTATATCAATGAGTCTGTTTCTGTTTTGTATTTATGCTTTGTGGGTTTTTGTTTTTGTTTTTTAAGATTCCACATATGAGCGATCTCAATGGTATTTTTCTTTCT